TGTTGTTGTTGTTGTTGTTGTTGTTGCTGTTGCTGTTGCTGTTGCTGTTGCTGCTGTTGTTGTTGTTGTTGCTGTTGCTGTGGTTGCTGTTGTTGTTGTTGTTGTTGTTGCTGCTGCTGTTGTTGTTGTTGTGAATTATTGCTGTCTCGCTTACGGCATATTTGAGTTTCATCATTGCCCTTCTCGGCTTTTCTAAGGTGAGCATGATGAACATGCTCCATTTTGCCACAAGATTCCAAGGATGAACCGTGTGTGCATCCGTCAAGTGCCACATCAAACGTCTGACCAAGACGAGGCCCCACAAGGTTTCCCGAACAAGCATGCAACCCCCTGTGTCGCTTGAGAAGAAGCGCTAGATGTGATGTGGGAAAAGTGCCAAGTTCCGGTCCCATGTTTGCATTTCCAAATTCTAGGTTACTAGGTGCCGTATTGTACTTGGTATCCCAACATGACCCAAGACGTTGAGAACAACCCATACGGAGAAAACTTCTCGGACTCCAGAACTGATATTGCTGATACGCTGCGTTTTGGACCCAAACCTGCACCCTCGCCTAAACGAACATCAAAGTTCGCAAGGTGCCCCACAAAGGCTCCTGTCCGCGTGAAAGGCAACTATGGGTTACTGTGTTAGTTTGTTGAAGGGTAAGCGATAATAACTAAGCCCAGTGTATGAACGGCTGCCAAAGGCTTCTTCAAGCTTGGGGTACCCAAGAACCACAACCTCTGACGCTTATAACCTCTGTGACCCAAACCCTGAATCGTCTCCGTAGACCTTAACAGGGCTCCAATTTCTTGTGTGGATTATTGGAACAGGCTGTATGGAAATAAGCAAATCGGGATAGTCAGCAGCCTTAGCCGCAAATTCTGCATACCACGCCTCCACAATCATTGATGGAGACCCCTATGATCCGTGTAGAACCCCTACATCTCGCTAGGGTCTTTTCGGGCACATCTATGTTGAGAACCTCCCAGTTATCCATAGCAAGGATGCTTCCATACCAGTAGCCAAGACGCCGGCTGGGGCCCCAACAGGGCAGTGGGGAAGGTTTACGACTGAATGCCAGGGAGCTCGATACTCAACTAGCTAGTATTCCATACAGAATGTTCAGGGCTGTACGGTTTTTGGGCTCTATGGTTTTCGGGTGGAAGAATCCTACTAAAAGTGTGGGCACATCTAGGACGGCTAGGGGAAGTTGACTGAGGTGTGAGGTTGTTCTCAAGGGCTGCAGCCGTTGAGGGCCGCATAGGCATGCAAGTGGAGTACGCTGAGTTGTCTTCGCATATTTGTTGCTTGTGGCTTAGGGTTTGAGATTTAGGCTTTGTAGGTTCAATTGGTCAGCGTTGTGGGAGTCATAATTGTTTGAGGGTCCGGGTAGCCAGATAAGACATGCGCAGGCGTCAATGCAAGTTGTTGTTATTTTCGGAGGCCAGCCGGCCCGAAGGCATAGATACTTGCCAGATTAAAAACAATGCGGCGTGGGGCTATCTCAAAGTCTCAGATTACACTCTTTGTTTTTGTTGTTTCGTTTTGCAAGCTCTCCTGGAGCCGAACGCCCTGTTGTGGGCTTGATGCTTGATTTCCAAGCAGCAACTGCAAGAGCCTGCAGCCATTATAGAGCTGATTCACCCCTGTTGAAACCCGGGGCCAGGCCCTGAGCTCTGAGCTCTAAACAATCTGGGGTTTGTCGCCTTAGGTGTCTGCTGAAGCAGCAGCCGAATCCACGCCGGCCAAGAGCGCATCTGCAACTTGGAGTCTACCAGCGCCTCCACACAACTGTTCAAGAAGATGCTCAAGCCTGAAAACCGTATCGCAGCCATGTCCGTCAAGCAGCCATCACAGGTTCCTAGCTTTTGTTCGTAGAACTCCTCAGGGAATTTGACTGCCGAAATGGCTACATATGAATGCTGAATAAGACGCACTTTGCGCAATCCCATTCATGCACCAGTTTACGACCGAGACTTAAACAATTACAGAGACGAAAAAAAGTCTAAGACCATGGTGGGGGGGAGCTTTAAAAGCGGGGTCAACGTTGGTCCTTCGGCCTGCCATATATAAGGCGTGTTGATTGGACTAGGGCTTCAAGGATCTGAATATGCCACGCCGCAGCTGATGGCAGAAGGCAGCCAGGAGCGTCCAGAGTGGCCGGAGCACGCGCATTCTGCGCAGAATGCTGGTGCTCCTCGGAAAGCAGAAAAGGGATCAGAGGATGTTGCATTTAGGATTTCGGTTTCGGAGATCATAATTGTTTGAGGAGCCATGACATGTTTCCAATAACGGGGTTTTTTTGGAACCTGCACAAAGAGATTCTTCCTAGGTATCTCATTTGGACAGGTTGCGAGAAGATTTGGCACGCGCCTAGGGGCTACCCTCGGCTTGCAAGAGGAACCGCGTACAGCCTACAAGAATCTTTGTGCATGTGACATGCCGAGGTTTGCTGCCTTAGGCTTTAGGGTTTAGGCTTTGCAGGGAATATAGGGTTTAACATCTGAGTCAATCCCTCAAACATGTCGGCAACCCCAAAATCAGGTGATGATTGTTGGCCGCTCAGCCAAACACAAGGACTTGGACAAGTCAAGCTTCACTGGGCAAAGAAGGGCAAATAACCACCTCACCAGGCGTGAGCCTGAATGGTTGGTTACCTTCAGTCAGCTAGTTTCTGGGACCTGAAAGCCTATAGCTTTGGTTGGTTGGATGAAGCTGCCCTTTAGGGGGCATATTCCCACAAAGTTATGGTATTCATGATGCAGGTAGAGCTTGTCATGGATCTTTAACTTTCAAAACAAGAGTACATGTGCCATTTCCGCGCCCAGGGGCAAATCTAACAGCCAGTTCACGTGTGCAGAGTTTAGGGCTCAGAGTTGTTGGAAGATGTCTAAATTGTACATTGTTGATCATATCCCGCAGGACGTACCCGCTGTACTTCTTGGAGGTCGCTTCTACTTCAAGCGCAAGGAATACATGTACACAGAGTCGTGCTTGCACGAAGTGTGGGTGCATGAACGCTCAGCACCCAAACCCTAAAGCCCCCTGAATGAACAAATTCGCCCAAACTGCCCAAACCATCCAAACCATGCACGCTGCACCCGACGCTTCAGGATTTCGGTGGCGGTGTGAACTGGAAGGAGAAAGAGTCGCCTTTGCAGGGAGCATGCCGAGAGCTGGCTGAGGAGCTCTTTGCGCAAGACGAGACTCGAATCGACCGGGTTTCAGTGTCGCTTTTGAGATTGGTTTTAATCGTTGTGGGTTCGGGGGCCTTTTTGTTGGGTGGGAGTCGGGGGCCTTGGGTCAATAAGGTTCGTAGCAATTATGTGCTGCTGTCTAGTTTTATAAGGTAGTATACATATATAAGTCATAGTGTTTCCACTGTCCGGAGTATTCTGAGGGTTTTGGATTCATTAGGGGTTAGGGTTACCATTCTGCGCCTTTCTGCGGGCGTATGAGGTAGTATGGAGTTGTTTTCTAGGAATCGTACAGGCGCTGCAACAGGTGGGTCTTCTTGACTCTCTCCGTGTTTAGCAATGTAAGGTCTAGGGTTTGAAGTTGTTTCTTTGGCTTGCTAATTGGGGACCAGGGCTTGCCTGAACCCTTGACACAGCTGTTGCGATGTTTCCAAGCCTCGTTGCATTTGCGGTTGAAGGCTTTAGGCTTCAGGCTTAAGAGATTAGGATTGTGGCTGGAAGCTTGCACCACCAAAGATGTTGCCCTCAAAAGGGCAAACATTTTGAGCATCTCTAGCGCCCTGTACACTCCCAACGTCTTAAGCTTCGTCTATTACTCTGAAACCGAAGCTCTAATTCCAAGGCAGCTCCGGCTTTGTGTTTCTGACACATGTGGTCCCATCTTGACATCCTTCCAGACGATGCTAGGGTTGGGATTTAGGGTCGGGTAGGGTTGCAAGCTTTCAAACCTAAGCTACGCAGCTGCAAGCCCCAACTCAGACTCGCATACCAAGCAAAGTGCCATAAACCCTGAGACCAGATTGAATCCTAAAGCCAAAAGATAAGTGGCTAAACTTGGGCGCAGCTAGCCCGGGCGTGTTCATGCAGAAGAAGCAGGGGTATCTGAAGAGCTGTCAGGCTTAGCGCCATCCTGCTTCGAGGGCACACAAGACAAGCCACTCCTTTCGTAAATCATTTTTTCTTTTAAGAATGCTCAGGCAAAGGCTGCCTCAAGTCTACGGAAGGTTCAGGGCTTAAGGAATATTTCATGTAGGCCTGGAACTGTCAAAGCTGTGAATTTTAGGGGGCGGAATGCTCTCTCTCTCTCTCTCCCTTTCTCTCCCTCTCCCTCTCTTTCTCCCACTGGCCTTTCCGGGGTGCTTACAGGAGTTGCCTGCATTTTTTGAAAAGTATTTTCGCAAACTCCATCCATAATGGGTACGTATAGCATGCAGCCCCGATAAATCCTACAGCCGCAACATATAGGCCTTAAATAGTGCGAAACCCGAATCCCAAGACTCCCCGGGCTTGTAGTACTTTGGACCAACTCCCTCATTGCTTAGGAAACGACAGCGGAGGCCACTGCTCGTGCCTTGCAGCTCTGTGCACGGCTTTATAGTGATTTAGCGGCTGTTAATTTAGGACTTAAGCTGCGTAGGGCTTTGGGTTCAGGGTTAGGCTGTGCCTGTTCAGGCTTTCGGGTGTTTCGGGTGTTGGACGGTTTTTTGTTGTGCTGTTTCCCGTGTCATTCCCCCATAGTGTAGCCATCCGGGCTTTGAGACAGAGACGTCGCTCAGAAGCCTGCAAGCACCATGCTCGCAAACAACCCGGACCAGATCTCACATCATAAGCGCTGACCTCCAAAGCCCCAAAGCTGCTTCAAACCCTTGATGTCACTCTCAAGCCCGACCACCCTCAGTCCATGAACCTTATAGTGTAGGGTGTAAGGTTTAGAAATCCGAAACCTCTTCATTCTAAGCTATGAGGCCTTGGACTGACAAAAAACAAGCGTGACCCAGGTGTCTTATCCGAAGGGATCAAGTCTGAGCTATTGGGTGGCAGGCCACCCTTTAGGGGATCCTTCCTTGCATCGATGGTCTCAGTTTCAGGGTTGATGCCTCGACCGGTAGACGTTTCTTGAGGCTTTAGGGATCCGTTTTTTGGGTACCAGGCTTTCAGGGTCAAGAAGTCCCCGGATGTGAATGTCTTAGGATTTATGGAATAGATCTTCGGGGATATGGCTCATCCAGGATCTGGACCCGGGCTGGTTGCAGCAGTACTGAGTACTGTAATACGGGTGAGGTTTAGGGTTTTGTTAGGGACCCCATGTGGAACAGCGGTTCGATCGTTGTATTGGGCGATCAGCCCTAATCATGAACCAGCAATCCCCAATCCCCACATCTCCAAGTCTAAGCCGTCAGCCCGAAAGCCCTAAACTCCCTGGTCACCCGCCCCCCAACCTGCATACGTGATGACGAAATCCTAAGCAGCCAGACTTGAGACTGTGCTCCTGACCTCACACAAACCAACACCTTCTAAGTTGCCGTTAAGAAGGCTTATGAGATTACAAGGAAAAAGGAGACCGTATGACTTACCGAAGTGTTCATACGATGAGAACTTTGGATCTAGTTGCTTGACCAGGGGTTTCTGTGGATTGCTACATGCCCATGCAATGGTAGCGTACCTGGCCTCAGGCCTTTCGTTTCCAGGGGCTACGCAATGTTCGTAGTCAGTGCGGAGGCGATCGTCAGCAGTCTTCAAATAGATCCTGGTGACTCTGCGATAGATCGCTTGTTTGAGTCCGCGAAGTTCTTTGACAGCCAGGGCACCTGGGATCTGCATTTTCCAGGTATTCAAATTTGGGGCTCAATATTTTCAAGCTTGATTCAATGAAGTGATTGCCTGGCTCTCGAAATGGCTTCTACAGGATATCCTACTTCAGGGGTAGCAAATGTCTCAATTATCATCCTTGAAAGACACACTGTAAACCTTTTAGTGAGAGAACGCTGCTCTTTGGGCGTTGCTCTGAAAGTAGCAAGGCGCAGCCCTAAACCTCTTATAAGAAACACCTTGAAGACTAAACCCGAACCCTGTGGGAAGCAAGGCAAAGCCAACTCGGAGCTCACTTCTGTTGCTTTGGTCAACGTTGCTGGGTTGCTGTTGTACCGTGTTGCAGTGATTTTTTCGTGTACTAGAAACCAGCATAAAAATCAACGTACTAATATCCGTCATCAGGCCTAAGACACCCACCGATATTTTCAGGTTGGAGACTTTTTGCGGAGTGCTGCAAGCGACGGATTCCCTCGGCCCTTGTGCACAAGGCAGGTAGTGAGACCCAAAAGTGTGAACCCGAAACCTTCAACTCTGAATGAGAAATCCATATACATCCCACAACGAGAGTCCTGGCTGCTGTACCCTGCACGCCGAATCCCACACACACACACACACACACACACCCTTAGCCCTGAACCTTGGAAGGTTTACTGGTTTTAGTGTTTAGGATCTCGGAGTTTAAGGAAGTAGGGCTCTAGGGTTCAGGGATTATGGATATAGAGCTGTATAGGGTTTGGGGTTTCAGGGCTAAGGATACAGAAAGTATGGCTCGTTATCATGATCATCTTTGGGGTAGAGCGATTTGCGAACAGAACACGAGACCAGGTATCAAGAAGGGGATGCAGGGAACAAGGGGCGTGATGAAGTGATCAAACTCCGGCCGGTGATGGTCGGCACGAAGGGCTGCCTGGAAGAGTTATGTTCTCAAATTTCCTAATTGAAGAGGTATGGCCATTACGTTGAAGGATCTTTGGACAGTGCTGGTAGGGCCTGTGTAGAAGCTACGGGGCTCTTGAAGAGAAAGCTTTCTTCAGTGAGCCGGTCGGGTTGCATGAGATTATATGCAAGCTTTTCTGATCCGAGAACAACGGCAAATCAGATTTGGCAAATCTGGACACCACGGGTGTGGCTCTACAGATTTTGTAAGGATTGCGCTTTACGTCCCCCAGGGCTTTGTGAAAGTGCCGGAGTCCAGTTGCTTCTCAGCCTTGCAAAATGTCTGAGGTTCAATCAGCGTTATTCACCGAGTTCTGGCTGACTTTGCTTCTACTTTCAAGGAGGCAGCGCGTCATTCCCCCCAATAGGAGTGCTCCCCAAAACTAAAGACCACTTTCCTGCTTCACAGAGGCCTGTATGCAGGTTGATGTTTTTTTGGCGTGGACGCATAGAGCCTGTATTGCTGAATCCTCCTATTTGCAATACCAGATGGCCAGACACATACCCTAAACCAATGACTTCCCTGCCCTTGGGCTGAAGGGGTTCGGGTCGCCTGACGCAAGGCTTGGGGCAAGGGTGGCCGTCATCCCTGAATCCCAAGCTCTCAGACCAAGCTGGTTGTTGCTCCTTTTCCTTCTGGGATCGATCTCCTATAGTAGCCATAGCTACATTCCAAGAATGATGGTCTTCTTCTTCTTTCCAAGTCCCATCACCTTGAGAATAACTCACCCTGAAGTGGGAACCCCCCAAAAATAAACCTTGAGCCGCATGCGTCGCCATGCGGGTGGTACTCAGAGAGCAGCGAAGGGGAGTAGATAAAGCTTCTAAGTTTTCAGGTTTTCTGTCAAGATGTAGTGGACGACCTTGCAAGCGCTTCTGTGATTTCCCTCAACTGCCCGAGTCTCCTCGTCTTCCGGCCCTGAACCCGACACACAACCCACAACTGCTTTCTTGAATCCGTGAAGCAAGCTGCCCAAAGAGCAAGTCCATAAGCCTCCCTGACATACCTAAACTGCGCTGCCCCATCTCAGCCTGGTGGTTTCTGGGGATTCTCGGTTGGCCCTTGGCCCGAAATCCTTCAATCCGAACCCCCAAGCCCCAAATCCCAAGGCCTTTGCAACTCCGGGCCCTGGGCTGTAATCTCCACGCCCCAATAACTATACAAGCCCTTGTTGCAGGATTCTATTGAACAGAAGGAGTTTGCCGTTCCAGCCAGCCCCTATCCTCACACAACCGTTCGACCGCGGCTTGGCAACAATTGTTCATGAAAATTGTGGCGCTTTGTATTTCTGAACACGTATAGCGAGGGCTACAACGAAAACGTCATGGTGTGCGGGTTTTCTCACGGTTGCTTGTAAACCTTGTTGAACAATGGACTTGCTGAAGCCCTAAACCTAGCCGCCCCAAACCTATTGATATCACTTTACTGCTGATATTTCGTATTATTGTTACTACTACTCGTATCCGCCCCCACCACTACGCTTTGCCTACCATTGATTATGAGGTCTTAATACGATAGCAGTAGTAGTGGTAGTAGCTAGGGTCCATACTTCAAGAGGTCTATATATGGTTACATTCGAAATATTCTGCAGCTGTTAATGAGTGGGCTTGCATCGGGCATTTTCACATCCGCTTTGTCCTCCTGCGAACCTTCTGAGCTGCGCGCTTCAGCGCAACATCAACTCTTCTGTGGGACAGAACTCACAGGGTTAAGGAGAATTGTTTATTAGAGGATGCGCTCTGCTTGTACGGAGCTACCCCCCACCCCTCAACCTATCGTCCGTGTAATGAATACGAGCAGAACGTAGTGCCACTACTACTGCTGCTGCTACTACTTGTACCGCTACTACTGCTGCTGCTGCTGCTGCTACTACTACTACTACCACTACTACCACTACTACTAATACCACTGCTACAGCTACTACTGCTACTGCTACTACTGCTACTGCTGCTGCTGCTATTGCTAATACTTACTACTGCCACTGCTACAGCTACTACAGCTGCTATCATCGTCATCATCATCATGATCTGCTGCTGCTGTACTTCTGCCACTGCCTAACGCCCCTTTTCTTTTAGCATCGTATACTATTCCCCAGAAGCCTGTTCTAAGTATTCATTTACGACAATACCTTGGCACCTAACCTGCTACTGTCTACACTTCAAGAAGAATCAGGACTGTGGTGGCTGGGGAGGGTCATGCTGAGCAAGCTGACAGTTCTGTTCCCAAACGGCGCTGGCAAAAGGAGATGCAGGGCTTTCGTAAGCTTCTAGGTTTCAGGTCTGAAGTGGGTTTATGGGGTTAGGGCTGAAGGGGCTTGTGATTTCAGGGTTGACCATATATGTGACCATATGTGGTGAGGGCATAGCAAGGGACGGGCTAGCAGCGGTTAGCGGCTAGCACGAGCATAGCTCTCCATGATAGTGACGAATAAACTTCAGAGAGGCTTTCCAGCGTGGTTCGTCATATGGAAGATTCTACGGGGGCGGGGAGGGGGGGGGGGCGTTTTAATCAGGACATATCAGGACCTAATCAGTCATTATAGTTGGTTCCCTTGTAGGACATGTTTCAAGTTTTGGCGAGACCTGACGGGCTTACGTATTCAGGGGCTATGTCATGCGATCTCATTGAGAGACATTTTCACCTCAGCACAGATCCAAACTTGCACACCTGCCCTTAAACGCGACCCGCCAAAGCCCTTGGCCCACCTTGAATCCCCAAACTGCTTTCCCGGAACTCAGCCTTTAATCCTGTACTTGATTTTGCTGGCAGCCAGCAGGGAGTTTGCGGTTGAGAGTTTTTGGGGCTTACCTATAAAAAACGTCAACCACAACAACAGTGCGCAAATAGATGTTAATCAGGGCAAATGCTTGCATGGTGTTAGGGCTTTCCGACACGGTTTGGGGAAGAGAGTTACGGGCCTAAGGTATGTGAGCCTCGATGTGATGACGGGTAGAGGCAAGGTAGTAAATGTAGCCCCGCGCCAAGTTCATGCCACAGGACAAAGCGCACATCGGCACCGCAAATCTAGAATTCATCCTGACAGAAGCCGAAACACTGTAAAGCAACTGGTAGCTTGAAAAGCAACGCCAGTTGCAACACGACTGCTGGCCAGCATGAAAATTCGACAGACGTTCATGCTGCTAGCAGAAGTGTAAAGGAAGTATATGTGTGTGTATATATATAACATATGCGGGATTCTACAACACGTACGCCTCCGACAGGCCTTTTGCAGGTTCCTACATGTCCTGGCATATCAAGAGTGCTCACGTGTATTTCGCTTGGGTTTCGTAGCTTACTTCATCAAAATCAACAAGCTTGTCTGCGCAGCCCGAATAAGGCAGCATTGTGGTCTCGTGCGATCTTCCGACTCCCCAAGGAGACATTTGATGTAGGAGGAATCGGCATAGGTTTGGAGCAGCTTTCAGCAAGCATGTTGCGCAAGGAGTGACAAAGTGCCTACCTGCCTGAGGTAAAGCTTTCTCGTGTGCGTACTACACGCGCACAACGTGAAAATGCTGCACATGCCAGTACGTTACACGTCTCCGATGGGTAAAACGCCATGCTCCTCCCCCCAAACCCTTACTACCAAAGCAAAGCACCCGGCGTTTAGGAACATGCTTCCTGCCTATCAATACACCCACCTGGGACTTGCAAACATGGATACCCTGAGCTGTAAGCCCTGGATTTTGAGTTTAAACACCAACAGCAGAAGCAAAGGCGAGCTCCACTATGGATCTCTTCTACGATCCGCAGGTTCGTGCTGAGTGTTCAGAATTTCCAGCAGATTTTGCCGTCAACCCGCAGACCCAGATGATCGTAAGTTTGCCTTTAGAAATAGAAAGTTGCGAGGACGTGGGATCATGTGCGGGTAGAACCATGAGAGTATTTGTTAGGTAGCTAGTATATGCTAGTACAAGTTCTCACAGTCCGTGCAAGCAGATGTTCCTTGCGGGCCTTAGGTATGCCTATACCTTAGGCCCGCGCCTTCACCCCGCAACCCGAAACCTGAAACTAAAGCACTGCAGTTTCTTGGGGGGGTTATGGGTTTAGGTTAAGGGGTTCAGGGTAGCATGGCTTTGACATCTAGGGTTAGAGTTCGGGTGTGGATTTTGCGTTGGGTTACGCTAACCTCTCTTGGCTCTCACTTGCACTACTGCCTCTTCCAGTCTGGTTCTGTTATTCTTGCTTTCTCGCTTGCAAGTATGCAAGTATGTACTGCTGTCTGGGGCATTAAGTTCTGGAGAGTTGTCTTAAAGAGGAACTACTACTGCAGAGCTGGCGGCAGCTACAATAGCGTCGCCTATATTGGCCGGGATGGTGTGGGTCGTAATTATTACAGGAAAGTTGCACCTAGTTCCGCGCCGTGGATGTGATGTCTATGTTGTTTGTGCACATTCCTTCAGTGCGCGCAGTATCGACTATCCGCTTCAGTTTCAGTATCCTGTTCCATGTCGCTGGCTTACCTATAATGAGACGCCACGCAGCAGCCTAGATGAACACTCTTCCATGTCTGACCTGGCGTATGAAACAAATGGCTTGCGAGCCAACACCCGTAATTACTTCATCTCCCGAATCCTAAGCCCTACGCTCTGAACCTTCGCCTTGAACCCCAAACCTAAATCCTGAACTTTCAGAGCTATACTCCTGAAGTCTAAGCCCTACAACCCCAAACTCTGAACCTTCAGCCTTTTGTAGTCATGGATCTTCAAAAGGGCGTTGCCCTTACGCTTGTTGTCATGTATCTTGTCATTATATGGGGCTAGTCCAGCTATTCTTGAAAACTTTTCTACGCGAAGGACCAGTCTTTTACCAGTTGGCCTTCCTCAAGCCAATCCAAAGATGAAAGGGGTATGGGCGTACCAAAAGTAAGAAGCATAAGGTTCATGCGTGCGGGTCTAGGGTTTTGAGGGGAGCACAATGGAATCAACAGATATGGCGCCAGCAATGGGAGGAGCAGACCATGCAAATAGGGTCCCTGGTCACTACCGCAATCTGAAGCCGTTCGTAATTTCAAATTCCCAGTTTCCCGACAAAGAGTAAGTTTTAAGCCCTCCATGATTCTGACTGTTGTGGAGCCTGAGTGCGGCTAATGTGCTACCGCTGCTTCATGTTCCTGGTTCCTGACTGTTGCATCCTGGCTTCACATTCTTTGTTCCTTCTGCTATTATGTGCTATACTTGCCCCGAATCCCCATTCTGATCCTTTAAGCTCCACTAACTCTTTTTGCTTGCTTGTGCCGCAACAGCTATCGAATAGCAGAAGCAAACCAGACAGAAGGAGTGAAATGTGGAAAGTTTGAGTAGCTGAATGGCCGGTTTTTTAATTCCTGAAGAGCTTCCCATATTTCTTCCTATATCCAGCAGACCATTAGAAACCCTAGGCTTCAATGTTCGGCCAAAACCCTAAGCCTCTAAATCCCTAATTCCTGAGACTTGCAAGTCTGCAGGTGACAGCGCTGCCACCCTCCGAGCTTTGGCGTGGAGCTCCGCAGGTTCCTGGGGTCCCGGATTTTTCATTTACGCTTTGGCGATCAGAGCTTGGGTTTGAGGTTTGGGATTTAAGGCTTCGGGGTTTCAGGTTGGGGATTAGGGAGTCGAAGGGCTTGAGATTTGTGGTTTTTGCAGCGCAACAGCGCAATCGTTCCTTCACTGCCCTGCGTTTGGGAAAAACCAGCAACGCCTGAGCGTGACCTATCCGAGGTTTGAGTAGAAGAACGGGTTTGAGGATGGCTCGAGCTTGTTGGGCATTAAATAGATTCACCAGCCATCGTTCGGGATATAGGGGTCAGATTTTGGTGCAGGACTTGATTCAGTGTTTGTGTTCAGGAGTGTTTAGGAACGTCACGGGCTTCGTCTTGCCGCAGCAATATCCTGAAAGGGTACCGTCCTTTGCTCCATAGAACGACAGAAGGAAGAAGAAGGAATTTATTTTGTTTGCATGTTGGCATTTACGCTTTCCACGGCAACCCTCAAGTGGAGTTTGTTAGGTTTGAGCCAGCAACTTTCAGGACACGTGTCAGCTCAGGATCGGCGTGTAGCAAGGCCTTCATGAAGAACGTCCCCTCCATACATGTCGCCAAAGCCAGAAACCTGAAATCTCAAAACCATAAGCCCTGAAATGCACCCCCTAAACCCCGACCTAAAGCCAATACTCCAGGTGGCAGATCGACAAACTGAAGACGAGAAACAAAACACACACACGCGCGCGCGCGCGCGCACACACACACACACACACATTCTCCCAGATACATGGTTCAGGGCCTAGCGGCTGCAAGGGGATTGTGTAGGAAATCTGTAGAGATGCAATCTAGTCCCCTCCTTCAAACATCTAGTCCCAAAACGATACCTACACAGAGCTGTTCCGTACTCCTCCTTTACTGCAGCTACATTTCTTGAGATATAGGATCTGAAAGCTTGAATGGCTCAAAAATGACCGCTAGGATGTCACTTGGTGAGCGCTCTGAATCTTTGAGCTTTGACCTTTGGATTCAGGGTTCGTTTAGGGCTTGAAGCGCTCATGTTTTCAAGCAGGCTTTATCAAGTCAACACGTAGCCTTGCACCTTAACCCACCCAAACCCTAAAGCACCGAGAACTGACGAAAGCCAACACCCTAAACTTTGAAAGCTGTAAACCGTCAGCAGGTGACGGCAATGTTGCAGCAACGCGTTGTGCCCAAGCCAAAGACGCCTGTCAGACTTTGCCACGTTTTTTTCTTTTTTAAGTGGAGATCTGCATCAAGATCAGGATGCTGGAATGCAATCATTTACCTTACAGTAAGCCCCTTAATTTTGAACTCCATACTGATATCATGGATCCTCAACCCCTAAACTCTAGACCCCCGCAGCCCCCGATTTCTGAACCAAGCCTGTAACAGTAACAGAGAGCCTTCAACCTTAAGTCCTGTAAATCCTAAGCCTAGACCCAAGCCTGAAGGGCTGCCCCAAGGCCTGAACGCTTTGCCTTAAGCCCTTGCATCCCGACCCCAGAGCCTTAAACAAAATCCATACTCCTCAATCTTACACTCGCCTTCTAGCTGAGGCAGAAGCAAAAGTGCGGCATACTACCAATGGTCGCCCCTCGATCTGCAAGAGCATGTGAACTTGGCTTTATTCGGGGGTTTCTGATTCTCAAAATGATCAGACGGATGTGGCGTCTCATTGACAGGAAAAGCATTATGTTGCAGTTGTCTTCGTCAACCGTGGACACTAAGAATGAAGGGGACTCTATATTGCGGAATACCCATGTTTGCACAAATGCGAGGTTAGGAGCATGGGTTTAAGATGCAGGGTTCCGTGTTAAGGGGCCTAGCCATTGAATATTCACCATCCGATGCCATCTGATCCCCTGATCTGGTGCAATCAGCTGATTGAGGGTTCCTGTTGCGCGTTTGACCGGTCGAGGGGGTCGCACTTGATTGTTCGGAGGATACATGCAGAACACACATTCTGAACTATAGTGTTGTATACTAGCCAAGCAAGCCGCCAGAGTCCGGCTAAATTCATTTAAAGTCTAAACATTTAAACGCATCAAAGGTTTCAAACGGTTGAAAGATAATGCGGGTGCGGGTGTGTTTCAAGAGGAGGTTGTTTAAACAGTTGTGTGTTTAAACATGTTTAACCATTTCTCCTAAGATGTTTAGACATGTTCAGCTTTGGCTGTGCCATGAGGAGGCATGTACTACACTACTACTTGTATTTCTCGTTTGGCTAGTGCTACTAATCGTCAACTACAGCAGCAGCAGCAGCAGCAGCAGCAGCAGCAGCAGCAGCAGCAGGAGCAGGAGCAGGAGCAGCAGGAGCAGCAGCAGGAGCAGCAGCAGGAGCAGCAGCAGGAGCAGCAGCAGAA